GATGGAGAAAGTAGCCTGAGTTTTGACTTTGTAGTGTAGCTAGCATCACTTTACATGGTTTTCTGTGTGCGCAGAACTCCAGGCACTCGTTGTCATGATAGGGACCGGAATAGAGATTGAACCGCATACAGCACACATGGATGCAATTATTACGTCCAGAACGGCAACAGCTTTAAATAACGTTTTGCTAGAGAGAGTGGCTAATCTAATCTCTTCTCCTTCAGCCTGAACACTGGAGCTCAGGGAAGAAAAGCCCGCTGAACCAGTGAAACAGGATAGAGATGTTAACTACCTCAGCAATTGGTGAACAAGAGACTTAAAACAGGTAATGTCCTGAAAAGTGAACATGCCCTGTATTCGTGCCAGTAATCCGTTTGGCAAAAGCCAGGGGGGAAGTTGACAACTGCAAGATGCCAAGAAGAAGAAGAAGAAAAAAAGAAAGCCCAAATGAGCTTTAAAAGAACTACAAAGTACTCCAGGAATAGATTTTAAGCATTAACAAGAAAAATGCAACAAGTGCTACGAGAAAAACGATGAAAGAAAACAGACTTTGACAGGCAGCACACAGTTAACTGTGAATGGCCTACATACCATAGGTATGAAAGTGACACTTAACAGGGTCATGGTGCACCTGGGCTTCCAGCTGCACCGCACCTTCTGCTGGCCAGGCTTCCCGCTGCAGGCTTCCCTCCCCTCCAGAGGGAAACTCATGATCATTCCCCACCACCACCCATACTCTCTCCCAGGTTTCTGCTTACTTTCTCCTGCCACCCCCTTTCCAGTGAGGTTATTGCCTGCACCCCTCTGCCCGGGCAGCAGCATCCCTCCGGCCACGGAGCCAGCACTGCCCTGGAGCTCGCAGACTGGCTGCGCTGCCCTCCCGAAGCGAGTTATCCCAGCTTCTCGCTCTCCCTGCGCCCCTTCCCTCCCCCATAGCACACGAGGCCAGCTGTTACAGCTTCAACGGTTTTATAGACATGTACACTGACCTCACGGCAGAAGCCGGGAGACATGTGGGATACCACAAGCCCCCCCACCCCAACCCTTGCCAAAACAGGCAGCGAGACACCATCCCCCTGTGCACACAGGAAGCGACACCAGTCTCAAAATTCCCTCCCTATTGTAATTATTTTTGCTCTGTGCAGAGATTTATCACATGCAGCTGCCACAAGTTGTTTACAAGACACAAAAGCCATGAAAACAAGGTTGACAAAGTCTGCATGTGTGCCGTATTCCCTGGCATGGATGTATCGTACCTCTTAGCTCACATGCTGGCTGGCTGCACAGTCACCAGTAATGCACAGCCATGCCTTCCCTTCATCTTCAGAGTCAGCCCAAGTGCGTGTTTTCAGTCCGAGATCGGGTTTTGACACAGCTGCCTTGCTATTAGGTTTATCGCTGCTGCAGCAACAGCAAAACTGCCCATGTTGTCTTGTTGTTTCTTTCTACTGCTTTTTTTCTTTCTTATTCCACTGTAAAACAAGTTTCCAGAAATAAACTTTTCCTTCGCTCTACCAGGGATGAGCAGCCAGCACATGAAACCTTTGGTTTGCTACTAGGACTCCGGCTCAGTTCTGGATCCTAGCTCCACTTGATGCTCTACATCTACCAACCTTTAATAATTTTATCTGGAGTTACTTCAAGTTTTTGCTTTGAATGCATAGGTTCAGGCAAACTTCGATGGCCTGCACCAAAACTATCAGTGCTAGATTACAGGAAAGCAGAAACTCCTTTTTGATATTATTTCAGTGGATACTCGATAGAAGTCATTTTCTTCCTCCAAGTTAAGTAACACCTCAGGGTAGGGAAAAGCTTTTACACAACGTGCCAGGTGCTCCTCACCTAAAGGGGTTTGGCTTATGACTACAGCTTCTAGGTGTAGCCTTAACATAAGTAATAATTAAAAAAAAAAAAAAATTAAAAATTGGCCTCAGGCAGAACTGGTAGCAAGTGAAGTCCTTAGGGTAAGTCAGTCAGCAAAATGGAAATGCAGTGCTCATCACACAGGCAGGACTTTGGTGCTCAGTTAGACTAATGCCATTTTGTGTGGCATAATGGTAAATGAAAACAGCACAGAGACCACAGGCTTTTACTTTCAATGAAAACTGTTAACCTAAACGGCAACAGCTTTCTTCCTCATCCTATTTTCATTTTCAGTACTGCAGCTGTTCTAGTGGAATTACAGAACTGGTCGGCTCAGCCAGCAAAGCTTTTTTTTTTTTTTTTTTTTTTCTCTCTAAAGGGGAGAGTAATGAAGAGTAAAGATTTCCAAGAAGGCCCTTTAATAATCCAAGTCCCCCACTTTTTCTCTACCCCACAGCACACCAGCAACCTGCATTGTAAAAAAGAGGGAAACGTCAAACACCTCAAATCAAACAATGCAAGCCTTATTTGCATGAAGTGGTTTTTCCTTCATCAGTGCTTGGGGCACGGGCGTAAGGAGTGTTGCAATAAAGTTCCTTCCTGCGTGTGGACAAGGAAGCATCTTCCAAACCTTTACAAAAGACAACACTCCCCTTTTGGTGGCTAGCACCCTTTGAAAACAATCATCTATGCCACAAAAGGATGCCTATTGACCAACCTTTCCCTCAACATTGACCTCACAGTTACGTAGAACTGTACTTCCATTTTATTTTATAATTGCTCATTAAAAAACCAAACAACTAAAAACCCCCATACATACATATCCTAGGAAAAATAGCCTGAAAGTATTAAGTACAGTGTGTCCAAAAAGACAAGACACAAGGCTCTTTCTGTACTCATGCTATTCCTTGAAGGCAAAGTATACAGCTATGTTCAAAGTGATTTTTTTCTAACTTTAATAGTTTTTTAAAAAAAAAAATCTGTATTTATACAGTATATTAGGATGACTCCGCCTTACCGAAGCAGATGCAAACATGAGTAAGCCACAGTGTTTACTATTTGCCTTTGAAAAAAAAAAAAAAAAAATTGTAAATTTGAAGGTTAAAGAAAGGCAGAAGTTCAGTAGAATTCCAGAGTACTCCAGAGAGTACTTCTGACACTAAAAGACGATAAAGGCCACAGCAAAACAAAATGCATACACATTGCAGTCTGAATATCGCAGTCTTCTACTCATAACGATATCCTTAAATTCGTCAGCTCTCCTGCTCAGCAAAGCCCTCCCCCAGGCTCCCAAACAGACAACTGGTTTGTTTTCAAGGATTAGCCGGAACTGATTTTTTACCCTAGAGGTCTCTTATTTCACTGTTGTTGGAAGGATAAGGGAGGGTGACTGACATTCAAGTAAGCTGAAATGTGAGCTGCAAGTCTTCACATTTCTCAGTAATAAGTCATTTTGATAGCAAAGTCCTTTTCTGAAAGGTAACTTAGATTCTGTTGGCCAGAATACACCCCAATACAACAGTGATTTCTTCTACATCTTCGTCAACCACCTGTTTAAGTATCTCACCAGGACCTGGCTCCCAGAACTCAGATTTCAACCAAAACACAGTCTCTTCTATTTCAGTCTACTAGAATTACTGAGTCAAAACCTTGTCACTGCTAGTCTAAGAAGAGTTAAGAGTGGGAGCCCTTGTCCTCCTCCCTCAACATTTGTCACCAGTGATGTCACAAAGACCTGCAAAGAATGCTCGCCCCAACCCCTCTCTCTGGTCTGGTTTCATCTTCAGGACATTCCCATGGACTGTCACATCTCCTAAGTATTTCTAGGCGCCAAAAGCTGAACTCTTAGAGGGGCCTAAGATATCCTCCTGAAGTTCAGTGAGAGTTGGTTACACAGCTCCCTTTGGTACCTTTAAAAAATTTCAACATAGCAGAACATGATCAGGTACTTCTGGCTCACTTTTCAGCATTTCTTTAAACATCTGGTTAACAACCACTAGCGTAGCTCTCTAAACCAAACTAAGTCAGTATGAGTTCAAAAATATTTCTCACTTCCATTTATTTCAAAAGTAAAGCTGTGTTTCTGCAAAGCTCGTATTCAACAAAATACTCTGTATGCATCCATTTTTAAAGAAAATATTTTATTACATTATGGGAAAAAAGCATAATCATCCAAAGTTCGTATTGTTAAAAAAATTGAAAATTTATTTTAGACAGCGTGTCGGTATATTCTGTTCCGCATGGGAATGATAAGAAGACTCTATATCATTACTAGATATTGCACAGTCTGAAAGAAACAAAAACAAATCACATGATCTTGGGAACCATCTCACATTATGAAAAACCTACAAAGAAAACATAAAAAAAACCCCCAACAACACACAACCCTTTCTTTCTACAGTAGCTTTAAGTTTATAATTCTTGGAATGACCATATTCCACTGAAGACCATCTCAGTGACAGGAAGCTTCATTTCAGCAATCCCTTGTGCAAATAAGATTAATAAAAAAAAAAATAATAATGCAGTGAAGTCTTTTGATACGTGTGGATGGCAATAACCACACAGCTGTTAGATCCCTGCCTGGAAAAACAAAACGGGGAAGGAGAAGGAAGGGGATTTAGGCCATAAGTTTCGCCTGCAACTCCATCTCTGCCGCCCTTTTGAGTGCAACATCCACCAGTAGCTGAAATCCACTAAAATCCTGGTTAAGGTCTGGTGGGGTTGGAGGAGGAGTGTTAAAGAGCCCACTTTGTGCATTTGCACCAGGTCCCAGTTTAGATGCGTCCTCATGGTAGGAGAGGGAGTTGTCTGTGAAGCCGTTGGCCGGGGGCTGCTGCAGGTCCGTGGTCTGGCCTACATCAGCTGGCGGGCAAAAGTGGAAAGGGGCGTCTTTCAATGCAGTCACAGTCGTGTGGCAAATCACCGACGGCCGAGCCAGGACCGATCCCGGGGAAGCCAGCTTGGAAGAGGGCACAGTCTTGCCAAGTGGTGCGGCAGCGGGAAGGAAGGCGGTCTCCTCCAGCAGGGGAATGTAGTTCTTTGTGCTGATGGAAGACTCCACCAGGCCGCCCTCGGGAAGCTTGGTCCCTCGCCGCGAGATAGTGAACTGATTTGGGTCTTTGCCATCCTTCCTCAGCATGTCAGGTAAAAGCCTGCGGCGTGCATTGATAAACCAGTTGCAGACCTGGGAATATAACGACATCTTAATTTCTACCTTCGTTCATTTCCAACTGTGTGACATTAGAGTCGTCGGGTTAGATTAATGAATCCCTCCAAGCAGTTTCCTTAACTGCAGAACAAAAGAGAGACCTACTGACAAGTTCTGACTTGCATGGCAAAGGCCCTTCCCTTGTCACAGCTCTACCCCTGGCTCCCCGCTCCTGTTACAGAAAGCCTCGGGACATCTGAAGGCTGCTAGCCCCAGCTGAGGGGTTTAGCTTTTAACTCTGTGCACACACATTAACCTATTAGCTATTGTTCCCTAGCTTAGGTTAATTAACAACAGGAAAACCTTTTCTCTCTGAAGAGAGCCACTCCTCCCACAAATAGTTACTGATTTTCCTTGTTCAACTGACTGTGTCGACAGACATAACATGAATTACCTCATTTGAGTTTGTCCTTGTTTAAATATCAAACCAGTTTCCTGGGCGATACAGGATAGTTTATAGTTTAACGTCTTTTTTCTGTTTACTACCTAAAGGAGGTTTTCTTTATGGTGTTACATTAAGGAAATTTTACTTTCTAGAAAATTACAAAATTTGTACTGAGGAATTAAACTGGAAAAATAAAGCCCAGAAGTCAACAGGAGCACTCTATATTTAGCACCTCTCAAAACCAAACCAGGGTTCACCCAAGTTCTCATGCAGCCGCCTTCCCATGAGGTGGAAAGCAGCAACTGTCAACAGCGATTCCACCAAAGGTGATCACAGAAACCGAGAACGACACATCCAAGGGACGTCACAGCTGCCAGCGGTGTCCCGGGATGAGAATCCCAACTAACTACACAAAAGCCTCACCATACCTATACTAACACACTTGAGTAGCTCTATCCCATCTAGGATGTTCCACTGATCTTAATGGAAATGATCACACGCGTAATTATGTACGTGCATGTTCCACAGGAACAAGCCTCAAGTTGCAGTTTTAGAAGTGAAGAGTTATATGTTAAGCTGCGTATCTATGACCATAAAACCTCTGTTGACAAATAAATACCTTCTCCTCACAATCAATTACCTTATACAGACACTTTATGTCCTCTGGGCTCCAATTCCACAAAAATTAGCATGCATGCTCGAATTCATAACTGCCTGTTCTCCCAGAGAAGGTATTTTATTCCCAATAAACAAAGATAATCATAACACACAATTCATTTGTATTTCTCCTTACAAGTGCCGTCAAAAGGAGAGCGAGTAACAATAAAAAAGGAAATCTCACATGCAGTGTAAAGATTTGTATCAGTGACTCGACCACAGGTAAATTAAGAAGAAAACAGCTCTTTCTGAAGCAAGAACTACCTTTTTTTTTTTTTTAATACCTGTAGTGTGGAAAGGTGTGTTTGTCGGGATAACAGCGCTTTTTCTTGCTCTGAAGGATAGGCATTGTATCGGTGCTCATATAGCCAGTCCCGAAGAATCTGCACGGATTCCTTGGGCAGGTTGCCACGTCTCCTCCGTTTGCCTGAGCCAGCAGATGAGGAAAGATCCAGTGGGACATCCATAGTGTCATCATCCTCCGTTTCACTGCCTGATATTGCAACTACACCTACAATTATAAGAAGAAAAGAACAATCAGCCTCCTAAATCCATAAACTACTCAGCTCCAGCATTCTGTAGTTCACTTTTTATTACATTAACCATCTCTACTATGAATCATGGTATAGCCTTCTATAGAGGAGATTTGTCCTGTAGTGTTAACTTGTCAAGCTGTAGCTTTTCTGTCAGCTGAACAAAACGTAGCACCAATGATCTGTTCCTAAGGGAATTCTCTGCAAACCCTCATGTTCTTGTTCCCCTGGCAACCTTTTATCTGCTGCATGTTATCAGATAGCTTCTACCTAATGCCAATATTGTCCAAATTTGCTTGCTATGGTATGCATCCAACACTTTTTCTTCAAGGATAACTATCCTGTGGCTGGGCAAAAGGCCAATACGCAAGAACTTAAATTAAAACACCCAACTCAAGCAACGGGCTATTTAATTACTTCTTAACATGCTAATGCTTCACTCCTGGGAGATATAGCTTGTAGATTTTATAAATTAATAGTTCATTCCAGATCTATCAATAAAAACTAATCGAACAAGAAAAGAAGAAAGAAAAACTGTGTCTGCCCTCACCCGAGTGGATTTTCACTTAAGAAGGAAAAAAAAAAAGTGCAGGAAAAGGAAAGAATCATGTGCCTAAGTCATGTAAGAGTCCACCAGTTTATCAGAAATTGGAGTTGTGTAATTTAATTGCACTTCTGTATCAAAGAGTCACAATCATTTAATGTTTGGGTGGGTTTGTTTGTTTTAAATGTATCACTTTGTATCCTGATTATTTTTCAACTTCATTGTTTTCATCTCATATCTGTGTGTTCTGTGCTACACTTACTACAAAGGCTCCTGATTTACAACTTAACTGCATACACCTTTTTCCTTCAACACCAAGGAAGGAACAGATTTCAAAATTTGATTATCCCTTTATATATACACTACTAGTAACATGAAGGTGTGGTATGTAAATAAAATTTAAGCAGACAAACAAGTATTCAAATCTTTAGGAAGACTACAAAAATTCTACTCCTTTGGTAGAACATGAGGAAACAAGTAGTACTGTAAAATACAAATAAAACCATGCTTTAAATACTCACTAGGTTAAGCGCATCAGATATTTTAGGAATCTCACAAACTATATATAAACTCAAATAAGGTACCACCCATTTTCAACTCATAGAATTTAATACTACTTTCAAGAGAAATTATACTGGCTTTCAGAAGCATTTTCTAGAAGCTATGGAAGGGAAATATCAATCCTTCTGTGTTTTGAACTTAGATTGAGAGGGGGAGAAACTTGCTCATTCCTAACACCAAAACTTAAAACCTTAATAGTAAAAACAAGTTAAATGTCAAAACTTTTTTTTTTTTTTTTTAAATGTGGGCAACCACCCATAATTCAAAAATTCTGTTTAAGGAAACAAAGTCAGCCCTAAAATACAAGAAATGTGCCCATGAAAGTATAGAACTATATAAAGTTATAATTACATCTGTAAGTAAAGAAATAGAAGGAATTAATGTCATTTAAAAACCAAACAAATAAACAAACAAAACCCCACAACACAGAAAGAAAAAAAGGTATGTGTGCACGTTTTCCTTAATACTTGGGCAGGGGGCAGAGGAGGACCTTTCCCCACACTTTCAAACTTTAGCCAAAGCTGACATGGAAATTATTCTTTCTTTCTGTTATGAATACTCCAACATCCTTAAATTTAGTTTAAGTTGTCCAAATTTCAATACATATTTTTGACATGCAAGCATTCCCAGCAGGATCATCAATCTGCAATTTGTCTGGCACAGTTACTTCAGTAACTTACTTAGTATTGTTTTCATTCTACCAGTTGCTGATTTATGTAACCGACAAACACCAAACTGACATACCAAATTTTTCCTGCAATGATTAGCTACATAAATTATCCAGTCACGGAACAGGAACAATAGGACAATATTTAAATAGCCAACACAAGATAAACTCTAAATTATGTAAACAGGTTCTTAATTCACATAGAAAGTATGTCAAGTTTGCTTTCAAATGATTCCAACCAAACTGCTTTGTTTTTGTCATAGCTTCACAGAAAGTGCTGTCACGCTTGTAACCTAACCTAAGAAACATGCCTTGCACAATGGGCTCCTGCAGCCATGAGGAGCACTTCTTGGAACAACAATCCTGCACAGACAACACCATGGCTCTGCAAAACAGCACATCCCTTTTAAATTCAATTTAAAAACTAGCTAAAACTAGCCTATGCTATTCAGACAATGTTTTCAAGTCTGCTGTTCTTGTTTGTCAGAAACCAGAAGTGTTGCAGCACTTCAGTGGGTTGGGTTTTTTGTTTGTTTTTAAATATAACAGGCAGCAAGACAGGACCTTGGAAAACAGCGAGAGGCAAACACTGAGGGCTGGAAGTAAGAGGGAAGAGAAGCCAAAGAAACTACTCCTGTGAGAAAGTTAGGTGTCTAATGGTTTGCAAGCCATATTTACGTGGCGTAAGAAAAAGTCCTCCAGACACACACCACCCCATCTGGAGTAACCTCTCCAAGATCTAACACACAGCTAAAAGACCCCACAGGAAACTCTCTGGATCTGAAAAAACTGATTTGACAGCAAAACTTCTTCTAGAACTGTTGCTCTTTTTCACGTGGAAAAATAAAAGGTGACAAAATACTGTCTGAAAGCCAGCAGCATAAAAACGTTCGTCTATTTTGCAAACATTATCTTTTGCTAAAGTAAAAGTTGCCGTCTGACTAACAACCATAACCTACCTAGCCAGAAATGAGTCAACAGCGGAGCCTGCCCTTTGACCTGCTGGCTTAGTGTGTCATATTAATTGACACAGTAAGTTAGTGACACAAAGCAGGTTTTGGTTAAGCAGGAAACCCAGTGTAGTACAACTTCTCATTTAAATAGATGATCAGCCCTCTGAACTTGTAGCAGATCTCTCTGGCACGGTACAGAGCGAGCAGCAACAGGAAGTCATGGCTAGAAATCTCACACTACCCCAGCTGATATTTTTTTTACTAGAGCAGGAGCCACGTTGTTGCTGTCAAGGTTCTGTTTTCATTAAAGCATTCCTGATGTTTTTCCGTCTTGTTAGTAATCAGGCTACTCGCTGCTGGTTTCCTGTTTTAACAGGGCCCAACTGAAAAGACTTCTGGCTAGGCTCCACGGACTGGACCATTGGCTTACTGTTATTTACACCCAGAATAAAGGCTTGTGGACACGACAAGTAGCCCCGGCTGACCTACTAATTTATTTTGTCTTAAAAGCAGACTAGCACACGGTTATTTTACATCTTCTCCTAAATGTGATTGATCTAAACAGAAAAACTGTTTTAACAGGACTAAATTAAAGCAGCACAAGTTTGTTTGCAGAGAGGTCTAAGAAACAAGACAAAATCCCAGTTCTCCATTCCAGCCATCGCCACTCAGATGAGCAGTCCATGCTACTAATGACCCAAGAACTCCATGATCAGAGTCCCTTCTTTATAAATTACTTTATCCTCCTAGGTTTTCAACTGAAGTCATGTACATGATTGAACGCACTGTTGCATTGTATCACAGCTTAAAGACTTCACAGGTCCTCCCGTGATCAGCTCAGGGAAGATTACACCCAGGATCTCGAGCCTAGGCTCAACACTCAACCGTTAACAGATTGAAACAACTTGAGTAAAAGTACAGAGATGACTGAAGTTGATTTCAAAATAAACTACTGCTACTTAAGAAGGCATGCTGAAATACTTTGAGGGGGAGGACAAAGAATTTAGAGAGACTGAGACAAATGAAATGGAAGTTAAGCAAATGAAAAATTTAGGCTGAGTATCAGGGGAAAAAAAAAAAAACAACAACCACAAACAACTATCCCATTGTGTCGAGGAAGAACTTCACAGAGGAAGTGGCAGAAGCCAATTGTTATTCAAAACAGGACAAAGTAGACCACAAGGAACAATCTCTGCCCTCCAGAGAGGGGATGGACAAAAATCACCTTACGGGAAAACCTCCCACCCCATCCCCTTAGGGTTGTCTGAATTTTTTTTAAGCCGGATTTTTTTATGAGCACAGATAAACAGAATCAGTTCCCATCTAAGGCCCCGATCCTGTTGTAACCAAGTTCAGTAGGATTCCTCACATGTATAAACTTGAGCACATGCCTGTGTCTTTGCAAGATTGTATTCTAAATCAGCTAATTAACAAGCTGAGTATGTTCAGTGTGATTGCTATCACGTTATTATTTGTAAATGAAACTATCCACAGAAGAGTCCTCGGGGTTTTACTCCACAGCCTGCTAGCTAAAATCAAAAACACAATCAAAAAAACAACCAACAAAAGAAATCCAACACACAAAAAACCTAACTAAAATTTAATGTGAATTTAAAAACCAACAACAAAAATAAATTCGTTTAAAATTATTAATAAGTAACCAAGAACTACAAGGATGCAGAAGGGAATTTCCACAGCCAAAAAAACCACAAACTTTTTCCTCTGAATAGGTTTCATAATTGAGGAACCAGCTTATTTGTGTTCCTCTACATTTCACAGCTTCTAAAGCAGCCAGACTTGGCTATGCTATACTTTTTTTTTTTTTTCCTTTAAACGGGATTTTTCTAGGAGTGGAAGCAAGAAATCCGTAACAAAGTCACTCTTTGAAACTTCTTGAATGAGTCTCACATGCCAGGAGGTCACAAACAACTACAAGCCCCACCTTTAATAAAACAAAGGCACCCTAGCCCTAACACCGTTTTAAAAGTTTCTGTCTTTGTCTCCACACCTTTTAATTTCTGCCACGCAAACCCCAGGCCCATGGCCCCTCTCAAAAGTTCTCCCTCCCGCCTGTCACCTTTCATTGTTTCCATTGTTTCAGCCCAGGACTTGCAATCCTCAAAGCAGAAGATCTTTCCTCCTCTCTCTCTCACACACCACATACACACACACACAAAGCCCTACACATGCATACCTAGAAACTACGTCAGCGTTTTTCACACGCATTTATTTCGGGGGTGGCAAGAACAACAGCTGAAAGTGCAGGGAGTTTGGTATTTCACCAACCAGCAGCTGCCCTCGGGGAGAGAAGTCTGAACAATGGAAGCAACAGCAGACAGGAAACCAGCTCACCACTGCTGTGCAAACAGGGAGCATAGGAATGTCCTAAAAATAACTGGGCTAAATTAATTCAGTGAAACCATTAAAAAAAAAAAAAGGAAAAAAAACCCCAAAAACAACTCGCCTGCCATAAGGTTAAGAATCTCAACCTACCTAAGATGACTAAAACATTTTAAAGTCAATGCTGCCACTGTGTCTAGGCACAGAGGGCTGAGCTCGGCATGCAGCACATGTTGTGATCTCAGAAGCCGCGCAGTTCGCAGGCAGGCTGAAACGCGCCCAGCTCCTGCGGGAACTCCAAACGCTTCGCTTTTAAACACCACCCTGCCCGCTGTTTAAACTTCGTCTTTGTGTCTTAATTCCCTTTGTGTGTGCTCCTCTTAGACGAGTGGCACGTCCAAAGCTTCTTACGAGGGCTACAAACCATATTAGTACATCACGTTTCCAGCAGTCCAATGATTTCACGAACTACATATGCGTTAATTGCTCCAAGGATATTAACAATGAGCGAGGCTGCTCTACTATAGAGCCGCAGGAATAGTAGGGGAAAAACAGCACAACTCTGGAGTACTGAACATGCGCACTGCTCCCCTCTAACCCTCCACTTGGGATAATTCTAATGGTCTTTGAATGCGAAACACCCTTCGTCCACACTAAATCGCAAATGAAAAGATCCTGCTTTGCTATAAACTTCTTTCCAGCCAGCGCAGACGTGTTGAATCTTAAAAGCACGTTCCGCGTCTTTGTGGCCAAGCGCTAATTTAAAGGCACTTAGAGCACAAGCGCAGAGAGTAACAATCCTCTAACTGTAAAGTTTTGTCTGCAAGTTAACACAAAGAAAACTTAAAAAGCCTTCTTTTGGGGGTGGTGGTGGTGTCTTCCTCCTTTTAACTTCAACTGTGTCGAAACTTTCTACTTTTTTTTGTTTTAAGGGATAAAAGACAGGG